CTAAATGAAAACAGAGTGAGTACTCATGATTTTGGAGTAGGGAAAGGCTGTTTTCTTAATCATGTTTATACAAAAAAATCAGAAACCTTTATGAAAAAATACTAATCAACCTGACCATATAAAATAACTACAATTTCCTATTTAATATCAAAACCTTATAAGTATGGTGAAAGAATAAATGGTATAGACCAAGGAATAATATAATTCACAAAGTGCTTTTATTAGCAGGCATTTATAAAAGAACACATCAAAGAAAAAATGGGCAATGATGTGGGCAGGTAAATCACACCAGTAAAAATACAAATTGCTAAAAAACAAAAAGGCATTACTAGTCATTTTCTTGCTTGCAAACAACAGAAACTGACACGGGTTAATTTCAGCAGTAAAGGAATTTATAGGAAGCCTATCAGACTGGCTGGCACAATAAACAGAGCCAGAGAAACAGGCTTGGGCAGAGACCCAGGGAGGCAGACACCAGTAAGAACTTGCCACTCGAGCAGCCAGCTGGACCCTCTCTGCCATTATCGCTGGCCCTGCCACCACTTCATCTCTGCTGAATATAGAGCCACTAGATTCACTAATTTGCTGTGTTGTCTCCAACTAACCTTGCATCAATACTTCCTGAGCCAAGGCCCAGGTGGGAGCATCTGATTGCCCTTGCTTAGGTCACCTTCCTGGGCTCTGGCATCCTGGGGTTGGGAGGAAAATACCTGCTCCCCAGCTCCTGCCCATCTTTCACTGTGGGAGCTTGCGCTGTCCTGTGTAATTCGGGATCCTTTCCAAATAGGAAGTCTGTTTAGATGCTATATAGCTAAAGAAACAGCACACATTGTTCAACTTCATTCCTACAAATACAAGCCCATAACATGACATCTTCTGTTCATTGAATTAGCCAGTGTAAAAAAGCCTGAAAAACTCAACACTGTCTTGGGATTAGAAAATGTGTGCCCACCCCCGCTTTCACTGTTGGCAGGATAAAGTCTTTCTGGAGGTCAGCTTGACAACAGGTGTCAAAATATGAAATGTGCATAACCTTTAATCCGAGGGGTCAGTTTAAGGAGATAGTCGCAGGGATGAACCAAGTTTGGATTGCGATGATTGTTCACCACATTGCTCCTTCTAATTTGTGTTTCCCTGGTGCAGGGAGGGTAAAGGGTGGGTACAAAGAGGGATGATGGAAGATTTACTACGGAATGTTGTTTGGGGTGGGTCTTAAAAAAAGGACACCTAGGTGCTCCAATTAGGAATTCTTTTCCAACCCTGTTCTGGCTAAGCTGGGGTAGGTTGGCTTTGGGGCTCCTTGGGGACCAATAAATGTGGAATGGTGGGAGCGCCCAGATTGGGAAGGGGGTCATGTGTCTCACTAAGGAGGTCCCATGTTGTTTAGATACATTGCTGCCAAATAATCACTATGCTATAATGATGGCTACCTTACTAGGTATCCAATAATGAATAAGATGAGCCCCTGCTGGATTGAAGCCTACACTTAAGGGCAGGTGACAGTTTGTAAGCTGACTTCTACTATGGTAACGTTAGCATCATGACTGAGAGGTGCCAAGAAGGGACAAAGAGAGAGGTTAGCTAAGTGAAGAGGCTCAAGGAAAGGTGTTTGGCACAGAGGAAACAGCTTGAACAAAGGCCCACATGTCTAGATCAAATTGCCTGAGGGCGTGGAGGGAAGACCAAGACTTTTCATAGTGCCAGGGGCTGGAGGGCAACTCTAGTGCGAGATCAGAGAGGACTGTATTTTAGTGGACTCAGTGGAAACCACCCTCAGGATTACAGCTAAACTACACTACTACATTTTGGATTTCAGCTACATGCTAGTGGGAAAAAGTAGAAGTGGAAATCGGGTGAGGGGAGGGGGCAATGTTCAATGGGGGTGAGCCTGAGCCCCTGTCTGGTGGTGCTAAGCTAAGGAAGTCAGATCTGGTAATGGGCTCAGCCCTAATTTCTTTGAAGCACACGATGAACTGGGATTCCATGGGCCTCGCTTCGACTGGAAGGAGGGCCTGGGCATTGGGTCATATTCAGGCTAAGGCTCTAGTATAAAGAGAAGCAGTGTGGTAAACTTCCCCTGGTCTTCGACTTTCAGTTTAATAAATTTAAAAAAGTAGGATTTGTTAGCATCTGCTGTGTGCCAGCCATGTAAGACAGTAAAAGGAAAGAATGATGTTCTGGAAAGCAGTCAGCAGGACAGTCAGGAGGACAAGTCCTGTTGGTAGATAAGACCAAAGATTATTTACAGCAGCTAGGACAAAACCTGATCTTGACCAAATCAGGATCTCTCTTGGGTTAAATACCTAGCCCTAATTAAAGTGGCTCAGTGTCTTAGTTTGGGTTGTCCTTAGACCAGAGCCTGAGACAATGACCTGGGTGCTGGTAGTACATTTGGGAGGTGATCCCGGAAGCAGGAGTGAGGGAGTAGTGTAGGAAGAGGGAGACAGGGAAATAGAGAAATCTAGAAAAGGTGCGTTATTGAACTGGTTGTGGAGGGCAAATGGGCCTGCATTCCTCTGGGGACTCTCTGAAGAACCCCATTATGTACACCTTAGAGTTGTCTCTCCAAAGGATGAGAGGCCTGGGAGTTTATCCAGTGGCTGGTATTTCCCACTGGTTGAAGGTCGCCGCTGTTGGGGGAGAAGGAGTTGTTAATTCAAACTCCCCTCTGATGAGAATTCTTTGGCTTTGGAGAAAACCCTCAGGCAGAAAAGCAAAAGGGGTAAAGAGCAGGCATTTGAAGTGGGGGACAGTCACAACGCAGTGGCTTACACAGTTTATAATGGTGCCCGTAATTGGAGATGGGCTCCGGGCATAAAACGTGGGGAGTGAAAAGATTTTGCTATGTTCAATTTCATTCTAAAGCCGTTTATTCATTAATCAAACATTTATTAGAAACATGGTCAATGCTGGGCATCTATGGTCAGCAAAACAGATCTAGTCTCTGTCATAACAGCTGGTAGTCTTTTGCAGATTTTGAGCAAGCAGGATGGTGCTATGAACATCTAGGTCCAAAATGGAGAAGTGCTAGAAAAAAAAAAAAATGAAGCAGCTTGGGAAAACTAATTGAGGGCTAACTGCTAAGTCCATTTGACATTTAGGGAGACCACAGCCCCAAGACCCTTCCCACCACCTAAAAACAAGCAAGCAAGCAAACTTTTAACATAATGGCTGGGTATTGTGATAAAAGTGTTGTCAAAGTGCTTGAAATTCCATTAAAAGCTATTCCTTTCTTTTGTCCTTCCCTCACCCATGATTTTCATATTTGAAAAAAACTCAAATATGTCTGCCAAGGTTGAGGGCCATTGCATTCACACTAAAGTACGAATGATCAAATTGCTTTCTTCCTGGTGTCTAGGTGAGCTCAAGATGAAGTGAAGAATGGATATTTTGACTAAGAAGTGGGAATGTAGGTGATTTGGAGGCTAGTGCAGAGCACCCTGGGTGGGGGGTGGTCACCATAAAGCCCATGTTTACTTGGGGTGGAAGGCTCCGGCAAAAACCATTTACTCTGAAATGTGGTGTAAGGTGGGGTTTATGTTTTAAAAAGGCGAAGGGCTCTCCCTTCCCTGATTTCTCCCTTATGCAGTAACCAGGACTCAGGCTAAAGGTCAGCAAAGGTCAATCTACAGAGAGGAGGTCACAAACCAGTTGATTTTGAGCTCAAGGGAGCCCAAAGATGTACTTTTTTTTCCCTGCACTATTTCTTTTTTAGTTGAACCAACATTTAAAAACAGGATTCCCAACTTCTCTTTAAAAAGTCAGATGATCTGAGCCCTCATTTTTACATGGGAACAATTGGATCAGCTGAGTGACAGCCACCCCCTTTAGAAAGATGTTGATTTGCAGTTTGCCATGGTCCCCACCGTTCCTTATATTCTCCCCAACAGTCAAGTCATTTGAAGTATTAATTGGTCAATATGATGATTGAAACACCATGATTCTTTACTCACTGATATGACCTATCTTGGTCCCTGTGATATTTGTGGGTCTGTGACCTTTCGTTTAGAGGTCAAGTCTTGGGGCTTTGAACCAAACTTGGTTTTGAAATGGATACATTGTACCAATCTCAAAGGCACTGAACTGAAAATTAAGGGAAATATTGCAAGCTTAGCACAATGCTTGAAACATAGCAGCTATTAACAGCATCTGCGAGTGGGAAATGCAAGAGGGCAGGCAAAAACCGTGCTAATTTCATATTTTGTCATATTCCCAGAGCCTAGCAGTGCCCGGCATACATAAGTAACTATTTGTTGAATGAATGAATGATGGTAGGGCTCAGCGGAGATTTAAAGGTAGGCTTGCAAAGGAAGGTAATTCTGATTATACTGTTTCACTGCAAGCCCAAAGTGCCACCTGGAAGACAAGCCTGCCAGGACGTGCCAGACTCTGTGATGGCGTTCCGGTATGCACGCAGGCAGTCGGGTCCCTCGGGAGCCTGGCAGGGCTGGCTCGCTCAGGACTGGTCAGTGCCATATCTTTTACTTCTCCCACGGTCTGGTAAGGGGCGGTAACCTGATCTCCGCACTTTCCCAAGGCCTCCGCCTTCAAATCAGAAGACCGAGACCCACGCCTGGTGTCCATCCCGGGGCACGAGCCCAGCGCTGCCCACCGCGCCAGGACCGTGTCCACACCAGACATGGCCTCTCTCGGACTTCAGAAAGCGGGACCGCCCCGGAGCCGCGAGTCATCTGGTCTGGCTGGAGGGGCACCTCCATTCCCACAGTCAACATGGCAGCCGCCACGGCTTCAGCGCCGGGCGGGCGGCGCCGAGAGGCGCGTCACGTGAGCGGCCCAGCTGGGCGGATCGCGCGCGCGCCCGCCCGCCCCGCCGACCGCCGCTCGGTCGCTAGTTCGCTCGGCGGCGCTCTGAGGTGTGTGGGGTGTCGAGCTCCCCAGCTCCGTGAGGCGCTGCGCTGCGCGGCGGGATGCGGCGGCGGCCGTGGCGGGGCCGCGGACCGGGCGGGCGGGTTCGGTGATGAGCGTCGGCGGCCGCCGCCATGTCCAAGGTAACGGCGCCGGGGCCCGGGCCGCCGCCAGTGGCGGCGGCGGGCGGCAAGGAGAAGCGCTCCTTCAGCAAGCGGCTGTTCCGGAGCGGCCGCGCGAGCGGCGGCGGCG